AAAGTCACATGGTGGCCTTGGCATGAGCCCCCCCACCCCACCGGCTTGAGGGTACCCCTCGGCCGGAAGTGTGGGTGGGCCAGGGGGCTGGGTGCATTTTCACAAACAGAAGGTGTACAGAAGGAACCCTGAGAGGTGAGACCCAGCTCTGGGGTCAGCAGACCCCCTTCCTGCCCTTCCCCCGGGGCCATGGCTCCTGGGCTGCACGGCCTGGGGGCTGCTTTCCTGAGGGGCTTTGGTCCAAGCCTGGGGGCTTTCCCACCCTGTGCAGTCTGGGCAGCGAGCAACCCGCCTTCTCATCATTCCAGGCTGTCGTCTTCCAGGGCAGTCCCCGGGCAGGGCAGCCGGAACCTGGACCATCTTGTCCCAAGCAAGCGGATGTCACGCCCGGCTGCGTGGGACGAGGCAGGAAATGTTTTCAGAACAAATGATTGTTGCCGTGGCGGCCACCGCCCTGCGCCCGTGCAGATGCGACAGTGGCAGGCACACAGTGGGCGATGCCCACGCAGCCCTGGGATGGGCCACGCAGCCACTCTCACGTGCCGATGGTGACTTCTCTGACTTCTCACACACGCTCGGTCTCACAATCCTCAAGGATGTGGGTGGCTCAGGCCCACAGGCCACTGGGAGCTCGAGCCGAAACGATTCCTTGGGCAGGAAACCACCATCCCGGGGCCAACCAGCCCTGCTGGCGGTGACTTTTCCATGGAGCTGGAAGCAAATCCTGAGCACCGCTGGGTGGGATCCGAAAACAAACGAGAGCCCCCAAAATAGAAGAGAGAGAAACGCCTCCCCAGACTGGGACGTGTGCCCTCCACGTGCGCAAACACCTCATGACTCCTTGCCGCGGGGACTGTCGAGCCCCTCCTGGGGCAGGACAGGCCAGTGAGAAAGGGGGGGTGATTGCAGGAGCCAGCGAGCTGCAAAGATGAGGCAGCAAGGAGGCCCCGGGGCAGGGGTCAGGGCTGTGAACGGGCTAACAGGGGAGCAGCAAAGATGCTCTCCAGCTTTCGGACCCCGCGAGGTTGGGGGTCGGCGGGGACCCTGGAGGGGGCTGAGAAGGCCCCCTCGTTGGCAAGCTGCGGGGTCCCTGGGCTGCAGACCTGGCCTCGCACAGGAGGCTGCAGCTGGACCAAGAACCCCAGGGCCGTGGGCAGGTCACGCAGCACATACATGGCAGGCCATGGGCCAAGGGAGTGGACAGGGCCCCGAGACGCGGGACAGCCGGAAGGTGCTGTCTGCCTTGTCCACAGCCTGCCTGGGTTCATCCCCTGCACCCCATATGGCCCCCAGAGCCTGCCAGGAGTGAGCCCTGAGCACGGAGCCCTGAGCACCATGGAGTGTGGCCAGAAGCCAAAACCCCAATACAAAGAAATGAAATGAAAGTGGAGGTGAAGTGCTGGTGTGTCTCGGTGTCCCTGCGTGTTGTTTGTAAAGAAGCTTCTCTATTTTTGTTTCGTTTTGAGCCAATCTGGCTTAGGGGACCCTAAGGGATGCCGGGGATCGAAACCGGGTCGGCCAAGGACACTGATACCTCAAAAAACTAATGAGGCAGCACAGTGGGCAAGGTGGGCCTTGACTCAGCCCGCCTGGGTTTGATCCCAGCACCCAAAACCCCCACAGAACCTTGCAGAGATGCAGGTGGTTGTGCAACGTGGCCCGGGGGGACTGTCCTGGGCACCACCTGGCCAGGTGTGAGTGAGCCCCGTAGAGAGACGCGCCCCCTGGTGGGCACCAAATGAAAAACCTTCCTGAGTGACCCGCATGGTTGGGAAGGGCGCCCCCTGGTGGGAAAGGAAAGAGTGCAAATGTAGAGGGGGCCGTGCGTGCCAGCCAGGTGGTGAGCGACTCCCTCAGACCATCTTAAGGGCAGCGGCAGCAACAAAGGGGGCGAGGGGAGGGAACATTTTTGGGGGTCTACATACAGAGGTGTTCAGGGGTTCCTCCTGGCTCTGCACTCAGGAATCACTCCTGGCGGTGCTCAGGGAACCAGATGGGATGCCAGGGATGGAACCCGGCTTGGCCGCATGCAAGGCCAACGCCCTCCTCGTTGTACTATCGCTTAGGCCCCTCTGATGGACTTTTGCAGGTCAGCACTCAGGACCCTGCCCCGCTGCACGACGCCTCCTGAGGGGCTGGTCTCACGCACGCGCAGCCTGGCCCGGCTGGGCACTCCCGATTCCTCTGATGGTATTTCACCAGGACCCCTGAGCACAGGCGTGCTGGGCCCAACAGAGCAAAAGACCGAGATCTGCGCTGTGGGCTCTGACCCTGCACCCGACAGCCTCACGGCGTGGACCCGTGTAAACACACACGCATGCACGTACATGCACACCCACATATACACACATGCACATACATGCGTATGCGCGCATGTGCGCTCACACGACTTCTCCCCCTGTTACAGGAAGTGCCTGTCTCACCTTCACTTCACGACACTCTGCTGCTGGATAATTTTTTTTTTCTTTTTGGGTCCCACCCAGCGCTGCACAGGGGTTACTCCTGGCTCATGCACTCAGGAATTACTTCTGGTGGTGCTCGGGGGACCATAAGGGATGCTGGGAATCGGAACCCGCGTCGGCCGCATGCAAGGCAAACGCCCTCCCCTCTGCTGGATAATCTGACAATTTGATTTTTATTATGGTAACAGTGGCAATGTTATTCTACATTTATCTGTTCAGGGAAGCCGTCTGTTACCGTATCCTTCCTGAAGGTGCCAATCTCGCCCTTCCCTCCCCCTACTTCGACCCTCCTCCCCTCTTTGCTAAGCTCAGTCCTGCAGAATCTGGAGGTTCGTTTTATCGGACAGGACTTATCCCCTCCCTCTGATTCATGAGTCAGCCCATTGGTATTTGTTTTCCTTCCAACAAATTTCATTAAACTGACCCCGCCCTTCCCCAGCCCTCTCCCTGCCCCGGTTCCATGCAGGTGGCAAGCGGCAAGAGTTCATCTTTTCCGCACAGCTGAGTGGGACCATCTGCCTCATCTCCCATCACTGAGTCCCGGGTGGAGTCTGAGTGTGGGGGCAGCTGTGGAGCGCCTCGTGCTGTGGGAGAGGGGCCTATGCCCAATGCTCCAGCCGCTCTGAGTTATTCTGTTTTTCCGAACCACGCCTGCTTTGGGCTCACTCCTGACACCAACCCAGGTTGCCCGCCTGCAAGGCAAAAGCTGAACTCTGCAGGCCCTTGCCTCTGCCTCGCTGTTCCTCAGTGTGGCCGTCAGACACTAAACCACGCTCCGTGTGGGGCTGCCACAGTTCCTGGTGGGAGGACAAACCCATCTCCCACCGGGACGGTGAGCCGAGTGCGCGCAGTGCTGGGTGAGGCTGGAAGATTCTGGAGGGAGCCTGGCGGGCCTGCTGGGAGAGGGGAGGAAGGGCCCATCTGCAGGGGCGCAAAGGCTTCCAGGGGGCCAGGGAGCTAGAGCGTCAGAGCAGCGGCAGGGAGGGGCCGTGGGAGGCACCGTCCCCAGTACTTATGGGGCCTGGTTACAGCCACTCGCCAGGGGAAGGACCGGCTGGGGCACAGGGGATGGGAGTTGGGGAAGGCTCCGGCCCCAGGGGCCTCTGGGGTACCCGCAGGGGCGGGTGTGGGTTCCCAGGCCCTGCCCCACCTCAGCCCTCGCCCTTCCCTTAGGAGGCAGAGTCTAGCTGGGGCAGTGAGGAGGGGCTGTGGGCACTCAGCGCCCCAGGGGTTGACCCCTAGGGTCCTCCCAGCACTGCCAGGTGATTCCTGAGTGCATAGCCAGGAGTAATCCAGGGCATCTCTGGGTGTGACCCCAAAAGCCAAAAATAAAAGGCCCTGGGCCTCCACCCACACAGCCGGGCCAGTGCAGCAGTTAGGGGGTGTCTGGGCGCTTCCGCCCCCAAAGCACCTGGGCTAGGGGCAGGGAGGAAGCGTGGGAGGGAAGGAAGGGGAGGTGGAGATGGGAAAGAGCACCTCCGGGTCCAGCGCGTCTCAGAACCTGGCAAGTGCTGTCCTAAAAGGAGAGGGGAGAGGGGAGAGGGAGAGGGAGAGGGAGAGATCGGGTCATCTCAGAACCTGGCATGTGTTGTCCGAAGTGTGTGTGTGTGTAATGGGTAGCAGCTGGGGCCAGTTGTCACCACAGTGCGTGTCCCCTCCTGGCCCTCCAGCACTCTGCCCAGGACGCACAGTCTTAACGTACCGGGGGACACCAGGCCCAGGCCGGGGAATGTAGAGGGGGGCACAGCTCACCTTTCTCTGTGAGGTGGCCTGCGGATGGGCATCGGGGTTCCAAACAGGACCCCAGAAAAGGGAGCAGAAGCGGCAGGTTGTCCTAGAGGTGACTTCAGGGTCAATGTGAGTGTCTCTAGTTCCTGCCTGGAAGTCAGAGCCCTGGAAGGCCTGTCCCCAGGACAGACGTCACGTGTGTGTCCCCCACAGCGGGGGACCTTGAGCAGCGGCAGGGGAACGACCTTGGCCGGGACACGGACCCGACGGACGGGTCAGGCATCAGTACGAGCTCTGGTGGTGTGGCCCCCAGGTGTCACCAGACTCTGGAGTGTCCCCGAGTGTCTGAAAGCCTAGGCGTGGGGAGGGAGCAGCGCCCGGGGGCTATTTCTCACACATCACCCTCAGGGCTTGGGGACCACACGGGTGCCGGGCAATCCCTTCCGGCTCCAGTCCTGCTTTCCAGATTCGGCTTCACACATCTCCCGGTAACTGACAAGCAAGGATCACGCCGAGCTCTCACTGGTCTCTGAGGTTCCCCAGGTTCTCTCTGACGATCAGGGTCCTGCCCAGCTCTGTGGGGGCTCTGTGTGGGTGCTGGGTCCCACGCATGCAGGCCCGCCGGTCCATGGGGGCAAGTGACCGGGTCAGTGCCAGGCACTTCCATCTGTGACACGGTGTCGTTCAGCCACAGTGGCCTCACGGCCCACGTCCTGGCCGAGGCCTCGTGCCTGGGGAAGGGCCGCAGGGATGGGAGAGGCGACGGGGCAGAGACATGGGAGCAGACGCTGCAGTAAACACTTTATTCGGTTCCTCTGAGGGACGAGTTCCTAGCGAAAGGCACAGACATGAGGAGGTATTCGCGGGCGGAGTGGCTGGCGGGCACCACGCACTGACCCGGAAGGCACTGAGGATGGGGGTGGGGGGACGGGGGCAGGGACAGCCCCCGGCAGCTCTGTGCTGTGGGCAGTCGCCCGACCAAGAACGTGGCAGGCACACCTGGGACATGGGCGACAGGCACAAAGGAGCCGCTGGCCTGGCCCATGGGCACAGACATCGGATGAAGGCACGAGATGGCCAGGCAAGAACAAGTGGGGACAGTGGCCATGGCAGGCGACCCCCCACCCTTGCCCCGAGGCCAAAGGCACCAGGAGGCCCTTTTATTAAAATACAGAATTTTGGAACTTCTCTGTCAGGAACCAGCTAAATAGCCCTTGACTGGGAGTTAAACTTTTTGGCAAAGTAGAAACTTTGGTCACAGCCGCGGTTCTGGCAGACCAGTCCATGGGAAAGAGCAGCCGAGTCGGACGCCCTGGGGACGCGGGCAGGGCGCATCATTTCCGAGGCACGAGGTGAGACAGGATGGGGGGGTGGGCACGTGGGTCTGGGGAGACGGTCCCGGGGTGAGGGGCACCCGCGGCTGTGCCAGGCCCCGGGGCCACACGTCTGGTCCGGACAGACGGACAACCAAGGCACTTCCTAGAAGCCTTACGTTAACTGAAGCAACTGTTTTAGAAAACGGGCGGTGAACGTGGTGGGGGGCAGGCGGGGCGCGGGGCGGCTGCGGCTCCTCAGGATGAGACAGACCACACTGCAGGCGAGAGGGGGCAGTGTCAGATGCCCATGGTCACCAGGCGGGGCCCCCCATGGCCCTACGTGCACGAGGCTGGAGGAGGCCGTGAGGAGCAGAGGGCCACCCCCGCCTGGCTTCTAGAACCTGCTCCCAGCGGGAATGGCATGAGGACACGCGCATCAGCAGCGGGCCAGGCACCAGCGTCGTCCCCCCGACCCACGGGGAAGCACGTGACTTAGTATTAAGCCTTGGTTTCGGGTCACAGGGCTGATGCTGGCGGGCTCGGGGGCCCAGCTGGGGTGCTGGGATGGAACCCGGGTCAGCCGCACGCCAGGCCGGGCCCTCTGCTGTGCTCCAGCTCCAGAAGGCGCGTCTGCACTCCCCTTTAACACGTGAGGAAACTGAGGCTCTGAGGGGGAACGTTTGGCCCCAGCAGTGTGGTGGACCAGGGAGGGTGCAGGTCAGCGGCTTAGCTCTGGGCCATGCTGGTCCTCGTGAGGGACAGAGCTGAGGAGAGCGGACCCCAGAAACTCTCCACCTTCAGAGGAGTCTGGGTCGCGGGCGACCAGGGGACAGTCAGGACAGCAGGGGAGCGGAGGGACAGGCGGTCACAGCAGCAGGGGAGCAGGGGGTTAGGGGGTCACTCCCGCGGCAGAGCGAGCAAGGCACCGAGTGCTGCCACGCAGTGCTGTCCCCAGCGGGCTGGGCAGTCACTCACCCACGATGATGACGATGATGATGATCAGGACAGCGATCCCGATGGCCCACATCTGCGACCAGACAGGCTGGGTCAGCACCTGGGCTGCAGCCTCGGGGGCCCCAAGAGCACTGCCATAGGAGCCCACGCCCAGCCACCGACAACAAGACCCAGACAGACTCCTGACGCAGGGTGGCCAGGGGAAGCTGGCACCTGGCCATCTGGACGGTGCTCAGAGAGGAGCACGGGTTGATGACCTGCCTTCCTGTGCCGCGTGGGCCGCGCGGCTGACCTAAGGGTGGGCCCTGCCTCTCTGGGGACCCTGCACGGACTCGGGGGCGCCCGCCCGCCCCTCCTGCCAGGGATGTACCCGGCGCCACAGTGCTCCCAGTGGGCCGGGCCCGGTCTTGGGAAGGGGGCGCACCTTGCAGTTCTTCCACCAGTACTTCCTCTTGAGCTTGGCCGCGCTCGTCTCGAACTGGGAAGCCCCCGCCTGCAGCGCGTCTGCCCGGTCGTCGAGCTCCGACAGCTTCTGGTCTCTCTCCAGCACCTTGTCCACGTTGACCCTCATGATGTCTACCACCTGCGGCCGGGAGCGCAGCACTCACGGAGGGCACTTGCCTCTTGGGCGACCCCAGCCGCGCCAGACTGGCCCCCAGGAAAGGGGGAGGGGCCACTTGTCAGGGGAAGAGGGAGAGGCCTGAGCCCCCAGGCGCGACTCGGAAGAGCCAGCCCTGCCGGACACCTGCCAGACACCCACCAGACACCCACCGGACACCCGCTGGACACCCACTGAACACCAGCCGGACACCCGCACTCCAGGTAGAAGCGCAACCACAGGGCAGGGGGCCCACGCGAACAATGCCCACTTTCACTGACTAATGCAGCAAGAGGAGGAAGTAAGGGGAGGGAGTGTCTCTGCAGGAGATTCCACCTGTGGACACCCGCTGGATACCCACTGGACACCCACTGAACACCAGCCGGACACCCGCACTCCAGGTAGAAGCGCAACCACAGGGCAGGGGGCCCACGCGAACAATGCCCACTTTCACTGACTAATGCAGCAAGAGGAGGAAGTAAGGGGAGGGAGTGTCTCTGCAGGAGATTCCACCTGTGGACACCCGCTGGATACCCACTGGACACCCACTGAACACCAGCCGGACACCCGCACTCCAGGTAGAAGCGCAACCACAGGGCAGGGGGCCCACGCGAACAATGCCCACTTTCACTGACTAATGCAGCAAGAGGAGGAAGTAAGGGGAGGGCGTGTCTCTGCAGGAGATTCCACATGGGAAATTCCCCGAGAACACACAACACACAAACCCCGGTGGGGCCAATAATCATGCAGGAAATGCCTTCTGGTCAGTGCGTCCCCACGAACACACCGGCCACGCCACGGGCTCCCTCAAAGGAAACAGTCGCAGTGAAGCAGCACCCCCGACAGGGAGGCCGAGGAAAACCTTAACTGGGAGGCCAAGCCTTTCGGGCTGCGAGCCCCACGCCCGGGGCGTGAGGAAGGCCCTGCCTGGTGCCTGAGAGCCATGAGGGGCTGGCCAGCAGTGCCCAGCAGGCCACGGCCTCCTGCAGCCACAGACATGGAGAAATGCCTGCCCACACACTCCCACGGAGCGACTGGGCGCAGGGCGAGGCCAGGACTCAGGCAGGGAGCTGCTCTGGATCCGGCCGGTCGGACCACAGACCCGCAGAACTGAATCCCAGCACCAGGCAAGCAGCAGCCAACTGACACAGGCACCAAAGACGCCATCACCCGGAGCAACGGGCCCGACCTCCAGCCGCACCAGGAAAGGAACTGGACAGCCCAGGGCCAGGAGCCAGACCGCAGAGCTCTCGGTGAAACCCGGCAGCAAATCCCTCACACTCGGCCACGGGCCAGCTACACATGCAGGCAAGCCAGATCTGGGCTCGTGCAAGGATCCTGTGGCCGGCAGCAGGGACCTCCAGAGTCCCAGGGAGATGACAGAGGCAAGTCACCGCCGGGACAAGGCTGAGCCAGGAAAAGTGTCAGGCTTGGAAATGAGCCGGGCAGCGCGGAGAGCCTGCACAGCGGGGAGGGCACTGGCCTGGCACACAGCCGACCCAGGTTCAATCCCTGGCATCCCACGGGGGTCCCCCGAGCACCAGGAGTGAGCCCTGAGCATCACCAGGGATGCCACCCCTCCCAAACAAAACCAAAACAAAGAGCCTTGTGTCTGCATGAACATTTCCACAAACAATACACAAGTGCGGACAAGCCTGTGAAGGGACAGTCACCCTTGGGGTCACTACAACAATGCAAGAGAAAACCACAGCCAGCTCCTTCATAATCCCCGCACTGCCCTGGAGAACAGAGGAAGGGAGGGGGCGCTGGGAGTCATGGAGAATGGTACCCGGGAATGTGGCTGGGCCCAGGGCGGCGGCCACTATCAGAGGCCACTATCAGAGGCCACCGCCAACCTGGCCATCTCCCACGCAGATGCAAACACGCCTACGCAGACGCTGATGGCAGCCGAGTCGCACTGGTAGGGAGGCAGACATGCAAGCACCATGCTGGGATGGGTACCATGGCCCACGCGCTGTGTCGGCCCCGCGAGGCTCCAATGTGGAAGGCCGCTGGGCTCACTGGAGGGGACAACCACCCCTTGCGCCGTGAGCCCTCGGCGCAGCGCAGCGAGGACAGGGGAAGGCGCAGATCTGGGCCTGGGTGGGGGGCGTCAGATCACTAAACGCACCTGGGGATCCCCTTGGGGTGCTGGAGACCTGGGGAGACCACCAGAGGGGAAGGCCCACCAAGCACCCCGACCAGACACTGAAACCACAAGTGACAGACAGAGTAACTATCACCTCCAGGAAAAAAAAACCCTCTGAAGCGCCTTTCAGAAACAGGCCGCAATTTGATACTGTCTGAAACACTTTTTTGTGTGAGACAGAATGAACTTCTGAAAATGAAAATATGAAAACATCAGAATGCAGCTCGTGAACACAACCGCCAGATCAAAACACAGAAGTGACGGGCCAGAGCCAGCGCGGCGGGGAGGGCACCTGCCTGCACGCAGCCCACCTGGGTTTGACCCCAGCCATCACGTGGCTTCTCAAGCCTGGGAGGAGGGAGCCCTGCACACAGAGCCAGGCTTCGGGTCTGACAACTGCCGACCAACTGACAAACCAAACACAACCATCTGACCTGAGAGTGGCCGCACAGAGGCCAGCGGCAGGCTGAGAAACCTCTGTTGTGAGCTGCGTACGACGAGAAAGAAGCCAGCAGCGCGCAGGGACTGTCCCCCTCTGGGTGTCTCCCGGGGCTGCCAGGGAGGCCTGGCCTAAGCAAAATGGCACCGCCAACCTGCACTCCTGAAGCTGCCGCTGGCCACGGGGCGCAGAGAGCAAAGCACCCGGCACTGGTCGGCACGTCGGCGGGCACCTCAGAGGGCAGGCTTTGGGACTCAAGGCTTCCTCGCGGAAAAGCGGGTCAGCACCGGGGTTGGCTCATGGGACCCGAAGGCCCACTCCAGAGCCCATCACCTCCCCAAAGCAGCTCGTCCTGGAGACAGTGGGGGGGATGGGCAGAGGGCAGGTGCCCTGCATGCATGCGGCCCACCCAGATTCCATCCCGGGCTCCCCAGCTGGTCCCTGGAGTGCAGAGCCAGGAGTGAGTCCTGAGCATCGCTGGGTGCAGCCCCCAAACCAACGACACACAATGGAAAGGGAACCCCAGGAGGCCCAGGGAGGGGTGTCAGTTCTCCTGGCACTGATTCCATCACAGGCAAATACGCCCGGAAACAATCTGACGTGGACTCCGGTCTGGAGGGTGCGTCCTACGGGCGTCTCCCCGCACAGCGCCCTCTGCAGGCCGCGTCTCTGCTAACGTGCACACAGCCAGCTCCGGAAGCAGTAAGTACCTCGTCCACTTGGTTCTGTGTCTGCTGGAGTCGGCGATTGCTGCCCACAGCAGCACCGGACACTGCGGAGCCCCCTGCAGACCTGGAATGCAGAAAGGCCAGAAAGCAGGTGTCAGCCCGGCCACAAGATCCTTCCAGACGGCACGGGCAGAGATCCGAGGGAACAGGCGGTTTAATTCCGCTACCATTCTCAGCTTTGACCATACATTACAAGCCAAGGGCAGGGGCCACTTTACACCATGGCAGGACATGACCCCCACGGTGGGGAAAACCTGACTTCCCAAACTGTTCATTCCTGTTTGGACACTCGGGCCACCTGCGACCTTCTCTCTGGCAGGATTCACATGCACAGAGACCATGGGAACAGGACCGTCCCCCAGGAGGGAGCCAGAGACTCACACAGAGAAGGGCGCGGGCTGGGCAGGAAGGGGTGGCTGTGCCAGGGACAGGGGAGGGAAGTGATGCCCCCGCCCTTCCCAAGTTCCGGCCTTGGGCTGGAGAGACAGCACCCCTGATCAGGTGATTCCTGGCCCCAAGCACCGCTGGAGAACTCAGGTGATCCCCAGCCCGGCCCCTGCAGGCTACAAGCTGCTGTCAAGGGGCTCCAGGCTCCCGAGAACCGCTGGGAGGTCCTTCTTTAAAAACAAAAAAGGCCTTAAAAAGGTTCTGAACTTTGCAACATCCTTCCCGAACGCTTTATATCGCCCCAGGTGGGTCGTTTTAGCTCGGGCTTTGACATTCCTACGGGCTCTGCTCCGATTCTACACGTGAGGTAGGTCTTAGCCAGGACCACAGGCTTCTGTGTTCTAAAGTCTCTTTCCGGTATCCAGGACATCCCTTAGCAGTGTCTGGGTCATCCATTTAGCAGTTATTACACATATATATAGTTTTTTGGGGGGGTCACTCTCCGCAGCGCTCAGCGTGTGGTACCGGGACGGAAAGCCAGCGCCCGCCCCCGAACTCGTCCGCGGCGGCGTCACAGTCCCGGGCCTGGCGGGGACGGGCCGGGCCGGCCGCTGCTCCGCTCCCCGGCTCTGGGTGCGGGTTTTAGGAGGGCGAAGGTCGCTGCCTGCCCAGTCCCATGCGGGAGAGGGTCTCCAGCCCTCGGCCCGCTCAGTCCCGAGGGCCGCGTCCCTGGGCGGGCGGCGGCCGCGCCGGTCCCGCGTCCAGTCCGGCCCGGGCGGCTCCGAGCAGGACCGGGCCCTCCCGGGGGTCCCTCCGCCCCGCCCCGCCCCGCCCCCGTCCGCCGCCGCCCCGCACCCCCCGAGCGGGGATTCCGGGGCCCGGGGGTCGGGCGGACGCCTCGTCGGGCCGCGTCACTCACATTTTGGCGGCGGTGGCGGCGGCCGTGGGCAGGCGAGTCGGACAGACACGGCCGGACCCGGGGACAGGGAACTGGGCGGGGTGGCGGCGCCGCGCGATGACGTCACTGGGCGCGCCGGAAAGGGATGGTGGGCGGGGCCTCCAGCGGGCGGGGCCTCCAGCGGGCGGGGCCTCGGAGGCGGGGCCTCTCGGGACAGAGCAACGGGGCGGGTCCTACGGTGAACAGGGCCTCTCAGGGTGGGGCCTCCGGGGGTCGGGGCCTCGCGGGTCCTGCGGTGGGCGTGGCCTAGCCCTACAATGGGCGGGGACTCTAGGGCGGGGCCACCGGTAGTTAGGCGTGGCCTATAAGGGCGGGGTCTCCGGCGGGTGGGGCCTTGTGGGTCCGTGGGCAGGACCCTCGGGGAGGAGCCATAGTGGGCGGGGCCGCACGGGACAGGGTCTTTCGATGGGCGGGGCCTCCGGTGGGCGGGGCCTCCGGGCCCTGTGGTGGGCGGGGCCTCTGGAGGGGGCGGGGCCGGCGCGGCGCAGGGGCTGCAGCCTGGCTCTGCCGCCCTGCAGACTTCGGAAACCTGGGGCTTCAGGTACCTGGCAGTGAGCGAGCGTCGCACGGGGGTCAGGCCGGTGGGCCATTTTCCTGGAGTGACAGCCTGTGCGCTTTGACTTCGGGAGGCCGGAGACGCCACGCCTGCCCCAGACATCGGCTTGAATGAACTAGGAAGTCCGCGGAGCTGCGCGCGTTCCTTGTGCCCGGTCTTCTGACCCTGCACCTCGGGTTACAGGAGCTGGGATTTCACGTGGCCCCCGCAGGGTCCACGTTCCTGCACGCCCGCGCCCTGGCACGGGGCGGCTTCTTCACTGTGCGTCCGAGGGAGGCGTCGGTAGAAGTCCCGATGCAGTGAGTTAGGCATCTTCACCTACGACGTCTTCACCTCTGACACGGACCATCCGCAGTGGAGACGGACACCGCTGCCCAGCAAAGCCCTTCGGGAACACGAGCGGGGCAAGCGGGTGGACTCAACAACAAGACGTGAACAAACACAGATCAGACTGCCTTTTCCATCCCTAAACGGAATCATCTGAAGAGGCAAGTGGCCTGTGTCAGCGTCAACTACTGTGGCAGAAGTGGGATGTGAGTTGGCTGAGGGGCGATGCGGGGAGCGGGGGGGGGGGGGGGAGGGGGGAGGGGGGAGAGGGGGGAGTCGTCCAGGCTGGAGGTGCAGGAACAAAGACATTGGGGGAGATGAGCATGGCGTGCAGGGAGCTGCCGCTGGGATGAAAATAAGACCGAATAGTGAGGCTGCACAAGGCACCCGCCGATTAGACCAGCGCGGCAGGCACCAGAAGCCTGGGTAGGGGCTGCCAGTGCCATCTGCAAGACTTGGCAGTACCCACAAAGGTATTAGCTGAGAAAGGGAAGGAAGCAATGAGACCACTACACTCACAAGGCGGAGTCCTATCAGTCGGCTGGGAAATGAATGCCTTTGAAAACCCTGCAAACTTCAGATGATTTTAACTTCAAAGGTGAAGTTGGGTCTGCCTTTAGCTTCCAAATACCTACAGTATCTTTGCCGTGATTGTTATGTTGTGAAGATACTCAAACAAGCAAGTACTCTCGGGATGGTGACTTGAATAAGATCGTTCCCGGGACTGGAAAGACAATACAGTTCCTGCTTTGGTGTGGCTAACTGGGGTTCGCGTGCTGGCATGAGCACAGCCTGGCGTGAGGCCTGAGTGCAGAGCCCTGGGCACCACTGTGCATCTCCGAAAGATAAACGAAACCGACCGCCATTTACCAGGGATCGAACCAACACAGGGCCTCATACAGACAATGCCTTTCCCAGCAAGCCACAACTGTGGCCAGGAAACTCTTCTCTCGGGCAGCGCAGAAACTCTACGGTTCCATGTCAGACACAGTCCACGGACAAGAAATACCTAAAATGGCCTTATGTAACTCGGTGACCCCACCCCCACCCCCACTGCCCATCAGGGATTTCACCAGGGCAGCAGAAGCAAAACACACACGTAGTATGGGGAAATTTTCTTCATTTTTAATTTACAGCAGAAAGAATATAAAGCATTCAGAAAACATTTTCCATAGTTTAAGGGCAATTCAAAACATTTTGCATGGTTTCCAGCAGCTGAGTTCTTCGACAGATCCATTGATTCAATGATGCTTCACATGCACAATTACAAAAATAAAACTTACAAAAAAGAAGACATCTAGACTAGTTTCACATGCAAGTCTCAGGGACCCCCCATCGGGCGCCGACGACTGTGGAGCTGCCAGAAGGGACCATGCAGCCAGAGGCAGAGAGGGGCTGATGTCTTGAATTCGCTCACACAGTTAACAGCTGATCTCAAATGGGTGACAGGAAGAGCAATGACAACTTCAGGAGACAGAAGAAGATTAGCGAGTCATTTTGAAATTCGAATGAAATCCTACTCCTGGCACTTGGGAATTCAGATTATCCAAAAAAAGCTGTTCGCCTCTCAGCTTCGATTCAAAACGAACAGTCACAACCCAGAAAAGGCGCTCACGGTGCGCTCCTCCCTCCCCTGGGAATTCACAGCTGTACTCGTACGTTTCATCCCGTAGGTCTGGAACCTACTTCTTTCTCCCTCCCTCAGGACCCTCCCCCTTCTAGGTTAGTCTTTTTTTATTTTCCCTTCCAGAATTTTCTAACGTACTCAGCTAATAATGGAGCGTGTATGACACATTCGAAAGGAAAGAACCCAAAAAACAAAAACAAAGAACAAAAAAATAACAAAACAATGTGAGGGTTAAAGCAAATCCACTGAGGTCATTATCCTTGTCCAAAGAACAGCCCTTTGTGCCGGCCGGTGGGCCCAGCAGCTCTGGGTCCCGTGCTCATCTGGGCTGTTCAGAAAGAGCGAGCTGGCTTTTCACCTTCACGTCCCGTTTTGTGAGTGCAATTGCGTGTTTGTAAATTACTCAGTGTCGTCTTCTCTCGGGTCAGATCGTGGAGAGTGACAGGGGCTGGGGGTGGGGCGGGGGGACTGCAAAACAGCTGCAACCTAACCCACACGTTTACATACAGAACGGAAGTCAGGTCACTTTACAAATGTACAGATGGCTTACGGGCCGCGGGCCGCCCCGGCTGCCCAAGTTGCAGAAAGACCAGAGCGTAGAGTCATTCGAGGTTGGCAGTGAAAGGAATTTAAAAACAAGTACGATTATAGAAAAGGCACCAAGAGCACTGACCCCCAGTTTTGACCACAATCTTTTTTTTTTTTCCCTTTTTTTTTCCTTATGATCCACCTTCATTCAAAAGACACCAGTCGGAAAGCTTACTGGCTAATCACTGGAAGCTTCGCCAAGAGCCTTGTATTTGGACTTACAGTCAGAACCAAGAACCCAAGAACCTCATCTTGCAACTTCACTTCCCAACGGATCCCGAACCCTAACCTGGGAATTTCAGACTGGCATCAGCAGATGCTACCTGGATTCTGTCCGTTTGACACGAGCGGTTGGATTCTCTCGTTTATGTTTTTTTTTCCCCCCAAATCATCCATCCCCCCTCTTCGGCTCCCCGCGATCGGGCAGCCCTGCTTCTTGCTGGCGGCCCTACATCAGTGGCTTCTCTTGAATGTTGTAGGGTTTGTATGCGATTTTCAGGTTCTCTTCTGAGTGTCAGCAGGAGATATGAAAACGTGAGACATTTTTCTACTTGTCGTACCGATCCTTTTTTTGGTTGGGTTTGGATCGTTCTAAAGTGTTCTTTGTTGGAGTGAGTGGATGGTGTTTAAGCTATATACTGATTCATCTTAATGATTATCTGTTTAGCAAAAGGAACTTAATTTTCTTAAGCAGTATCAGCATTCACATTACTTGGCACCATTGGCAAAAGAATTGTAAATAGAATAAAATAAACTCCTGGTAGCCAAAATTAAATGTAAACATATCCTTTTTTTTTTTAAAGTAATGTTACTCTGCCTTTTTTCCTAAGTCTAAATACAGTAGCTCTTTTTTTTTTTGCAGTTTAATCATGCTTTAGCAAAATGTTCTTCTAAAGAACATTTAAAATAAAGTACTCTTATAGTGAAATAAAGGTTTTTTTTTTGTTTGTTTCATTTTACAGACCATAGCCACTAATGCTTGCTTTGTTCATTTCTTTTGTCTTGGTTTCATGCACATATCTCTTTGTTTTAATATATACAATATGTACAAACAATACATCCACATTTTTTTCGCTCAGACAAAACTATACAAATAATTTTATCTTGCCATGTTTATCGACCTTTGTGAATAAAATATTTAGCAATTAATATAATCCCTTTCAAATATTTTCTCACTTTCCATTTCTACCTTCTATATATACACAGAAACTGCTCCATTTGGATGACATTTTAGCCAACGATACGGGATTTACTGGCCAAAACACAGCACCGCACTGATGTTCACTTGGCGAATGCCCAGGCAAGGTATATGGTTCCTTAGTATGATTACAGTTTCCGAGGCTACTAAAAAAGCTTCATGCTTCTCCAATTCTCTAAGTAATTCTCATTGCACATGGAAGTAAGGCAAAAAAATTAAAGTGCTGAAGATGAGCAAAGGGACGCGATGGTGTCTGTACGCTCAGGGTTGGGGGGCTGGGGGACTGAAGGGGGTGGGAACCAGAAAAGAAATGTAAACTCTGTAAGCTCTTCTCTATTTCCCATGCATTACCCGTTGACCACACACCCACCCCTCTGCAAATTTCCACAAGACATTAAAAACCTGCAGATTTTTCAAAGCTGCATTAAGTGTGCTGTAGAGGTTCAAACCGAAACAGACAGACGGACGAAAGAAAGAGAAAACAGTGAAGGAAATGAGAACACGCAGACCCATACAGGTTGTTATGATCTAAACCCTCCACTGGGACTCGATCCCAAAGATTCAGCTTCTTGGAAAGAACGGGCAGGCATGGGCGTGAGCAGAGCACCGCCTGCCTGCCCTCGCTTCTGTTTTTTTTTTTTTTTTTTGGTATAAAGGTTTGTACAGTTCCACACGATGTTTGAACGCAGCCCTATGTGAGAAGGAAAACGGCTTCTTCCCAAGCAGACGAAGCCTCGTTCGCTGCCTCCTGGTGCCCTGCTTCCCCACGATTCAACAGAAGATTGAGTTCCAATATGTCTTGCTGATCAAATTAAAAGTTGTCCATGAAAGTGCAAATGCAATGACCCAACATTCCTGTTAAAATCCTGCAGCTGATCTCCCCAAAACTGCAGAGGGATTGTGTGCGTGTGTGTGTGTGTGTGTGTGTGCGTGTGAGTGCGTGCACATGTGTGCGTGTGTGTGGTTGTTGCATGTCTCTGCTAAAAACGGAAATGAAAACAGTCTGAAAAGCAATGTCACATTGCTAAGGGATGCTGCTGCATGTCTTCAAGTTCCTTGGCCTTTTTCAATTCTTTCACTCTGGAAGAGAAACAAAACACCAGGTGATAACCACACTGCCACACCGCCACACGCTCAGCCTAAGGCAGGAAGGCGCATCACCAAGACAGAAATCCCTTTGGCGGGCGGATGGCAAGCGAACTCCGGCTCAAAGGCTGGGGAAACATTCAGAGGAAGACACGGCCCTTCCGAAGGCTTGACTCGGTGTCGAGTGCTTGGAGTACAAAGCAAACTTGCTTTCCTGGACTGAATGGAGGCGACAATGAGCTCATCCTGAAAACAGCTAACCATCCAAGCACCTTGCCCGTGAGTCTGATGGAGCCCAGAAAGGCCGACACTGCAGAGAAAGCCCCTGGGACCCTCTTTCTTGGGGTGTTCTGGGGAACGGGAGGGGTTGGCCTGTGGCTTGCTGCCCAGGATCTAACTGTGCGCTGTACAGGGCTGGGATTTCCCCCTGGGCTGAAAGCATCGTACTTCCTCCCATTCCTCCATTCCTCCCATTCCAAACTGCAGTTTTCAGAAAGGCCCCTCGGCATCCCCCAGGGCTCCGAGGCGAAAGACTTAGGCTACAATGGCACAGGCATTCTGACCCAGCTAGCAGATGTGAGAGACAAATATAAATGGAATTTCAAAGAAGTCCCTATTTGCAAACTCATCACTGTCACCTTTGCTCTTTTTGCTTTTCTGCTGTAACAATGGTGATGGGCTAAGGGTGAGGCTTAGGGGGTCAGGCCAAGGACTTCAACCCCACCCCTGGTCAGTCTCTTTTTAACATAAAAACCTTCCTTTTTAATGACAAGGGCTGCCTATTCTGGGTAGGGATGAGCTGAGAAGTGGCAAGGATCTTGCTATTCTGTTTTCACTGGCGGCCACATCTGGTGATACTCGAGGCTGACTCTTGGCTCTGTGCTCAGGACTCACTCCTGGCTCTGAGCTCAGGGCTGACTCCTGGAGGTACTCAGGGGACCCTCTGGGATGCCAGGGATCGAACACGGGGACCCTCTCTCCAGCCCCAAGAATATTCCTCTTTACCAACAAGTCAGTGAAGACGCGCCTGAGAACACGTGATGCCATGACTTTGGCCATAGTCAGTGTGCGCCGAATTTCCGCTGCTGGCTCAGCCCTGGTGCAGGTTGGGTGGGATGTGGGGGCGTGGGGGTGTGGGAAGGACACTGCAGGTGGACAGGAAAGTGCCTTCTCTCCTCTGGGCCCCCGTAGAGGTCAGTTCTCAAGCTCACCTCTCTACAGAGACACCCAGACTTGCCTCTTCCTGGTGCTTTGAGGGAAGGCAGATGTGGATTTTACTTGAAAAGAATCACGAGATCACTTCCTACAGAGGGTCTGGGAAGACTTCTGGGCAAGTCATTCCTAAGGTACTGCTGGGGGGGGCGGGGCTTGGGTCAGCTTGGGTCTCACTTCAAGAAAACAATTATATTTACCACCTCGAAGCACGATCCTTACATTGTTGTTTCGCTTTGGGGGGCCACACCTGGCTCTGCACTCAGGGACTGACTCCTGGCAGTGCTTGGGAACCATATGGGATGTGGGGGGGGGGGTCGAGCCTGGGTTGGCTGTGTGTAAGGAAAGCGAGCACCTGCTGTACTATTGCTCTGACCACCACCAAAGCACAATCATTTCTGAGGGATCTAAGCCTCTCCAAAGAGAAGATGCTCTCGAGAAAAAGCCCAGGCGATGGGGAGGGTGACACTTCAGATGTGCCGATTTGGCTTCTTTCTTAAGACACCAGGCCCGGCTTGAGCAAAACTGTCTCTAGACTGCCAAGTCCCTCTTTCTTAACAGGCACCCGAGACCCCAGCGCGGTGGCTCCCCGGAGCCGGGAATCACTCCTTCCCGAGGCTGGGCTTCAGTATCCCCCGGCTGAGGGGGACACTCAGGGCGCTTTGGGTCATGGCCGCGTGTATCACTGTGCGTCCCTCTAGGCCCTTCATTTTGGACATGCACACTTGATCAATGGCTTTTTAAAAATTGAAGCATGCCATCTTCTGGGTTCAATTTTTAAACATGCAACGTCTAGACTATCAGCTCTGTGGCTCAGGAATGCAGGCGTGCATCGGTGCCGACTGACTTCTGGGCATGCAGCATTTGTACCGGGGCAGACGTCGGCGGGACTGTCGCGGCAAGGACATGCGGCCTCACGCCCTCCGCCTGCTCCCTGCGCGGGGCCCCGCTCAAGCCCAGGAGTCCAGTCAGCTCCAAAGCTGCTGCGTGGCCCCACGGGGCCCTGTCACGATTTTCCACGGCAGACCCAGACCCCTCTCTGCGGTGACTTCATCAGGCAGTGAAAATTCACGGCAGCGCCAACCCTACCCCAGCCTGGGACCTGCTTGCACTAGTTGGTGCAAATTTGCCCAAAGCCCTTCCTGTTCGTTAAAATGCTCATGATCACTTTCTGCGTTTTTTTTCCTGGAAGCTAACAGATCAAATGAGTTTGGACAGTTTTATTATTGTTATTTTGGAAGGATTTTTTTTTCTTTTTGGGTCACACCTGGCAATGCACAGGGGTTACTGCTGGCTCATGCACTTAGGAATTACTCCTGGCGGTGCTCGAGGGACCATATGGGATGTTGGGAATCAAACCTGGGTCGGCCGTATCCAAGGCAAACACGCTATCTGCTGTGCAACTGCACCAGTCCCTGGAGAGATTTTTTTTGTGGGGGGGAGGGGTGGAAAACACTGGTGGTGCTCAAGGCTTACTCTTGACTCCATGCTCGGGGGCACTCCTGGCAGGAATTGGACTGCCAGGTGTAAGGGACTGGACCCGGGTCCACCTTGTGTGAGCTAACCACCCTTCCTGCTGGACTCTCTTCTTCAGCCCCCCCTTTAAATTCAGCATGAAGCCAGAGTCTGTAACACAAGACATCGTGGTGGAGAGAGGCACATCTACACAGCAAGAACCAGGACACTGCCACTTGCAGAATTCCCTTCTTAGCCCTCTCGGGCTGCTGAGCTAAAAGCAGGGACGTTTGAGGGACGGAGCGATAGTACAATGGGCAGTTTGCCTCCTCTTCGGCTGACCACGCTTAGATCCCCAGCACCCTAGAAGGTTCCCCCAAGATGGCCAGGAGTGATCCCTGAGTGCTGAGCCGGAAACAAGCCCTGAGCTCTGCCGGGTGCGGCCCCCAAACCAAACAAATAAAAGCAGAGAGGTTTGTTGTCAGGGCTAGTTTCCAGCAATCTAGATGAGGTGGAAATGACCCGCAGGACATATTTCTATAGATATTAGAGGAGGAATGACAAGGACAAAAGTGGGGGGGGGGCACTTGGGGCTGGAGCGATAGCACAGCGGGTAGGGCGTTTGCCTTGCATGCAGCCAACATGGCCGACATGGGTTCGATTCCCAGCATCCCATATGGTCCCCCGAGCACCGCCAGGAGTAATTTCTGAGTGCATGAGCCAGGAGTAACCCCTGAGCATCGCCAGGTGTTACCCAAAAAGCAAAACATAAGTGGGGGGCACTGGGGAACAGAGGCTCACAGGAAGCAGACAGCTCCTCAGCCCTGTGACCAGGAGTGGGACCAGGTGACCCGGGGCTGGCCATGACCTCACAGAGGACCTCAGGATACAATTTTGTTTTTTTCTTCACCTCACTGGCTCTTCCAAAAGACCGCAGACCGAGGGCATCCATGCTCGGGGCTCCGTTCCAGGAAGTGACACTGCGACCCGGCGATGCTCAGGAGTTACTCCTGGCTCTGCACTCAGGAATTACTCCTGGCGGTGCTCAGGGGACCATATGAGATGCTGGGAATTGAACCCGAGTTGGCCGCGTGCAAGGCAAATGCCCTAACTGCTATGCTATTGCTCCAGCCCCCTCTGACAATACTTTGGAAGGAGTGGGAAAAAAAACCCTCCATGTGGAAATGTCCTCATGGGCTTTGAGCCTCAGTCTGAGCTGCAGCACTGCGCTAGGGGAAGGAATGGATGGACACAGGGAGCCCCCAAGTTTTCTGCCTTATCCCCCAACCAGCACACTCTCTGGGCTCCTGGAAGTTTAGGGAAGACCAAGAACCTCTGACAGGGCCCTACTGAAATCTACAGGAAGGCTTCAGGGAAGTAGCCAGGATACCCACAGCCACCTTGTTGAACTTTTGTGTTTTGTTTTGTCTTCAGTTTCAGTCATGCTAATGGGATAAATGATGTCCAGTGTGCTGTGGCCTCCAAACATGTACTTCTTTCACAGAAAGGATTTGCAGCATCAGACACTCAAAGTTTTGTTGGATTCTAACAACTATGTTCCTGTGTTTCAGTGTTTCAAACTATCCCAGAAACTGGCTGCCATCTGGCGTGGGGCGTGGCTGGGAACACTACCCAGAGAGGCAGGTAAACTGAGAACAACCTGCCCACAGGAGAAGCAAAGGAACTTCTTATCAAGGGTGTTTCCTGCCTGAACACCACAGTCAGTACGCGCCCTTTGGTAGGAATTGTTCCTGCTGTTTTTCCTTGGGGAAAAGCAGCATTTAACCAACTGGTGTTTTCTGCTCTGTCTGACTGTGACTGTGTCTCGGGCATCCCTGTTCCTATGTCATAAAAAATACAAATGGGGGGGGGCAGAGAGATAGTTGGGGTCTGGGGTGCGTACGGGGCCCTGGCTGGTGACCCCACAGCATGCCACCAGTGGAACCAGAGCCTGTAGCCTCCGCTGGCTGGAGTCCCTGTGGAACACTGGGTGACCCTCAGCACCCAGCACTAAAGCAAACAAGCAGGGTGGCTGAGTACCTCTGGCAGTGCCCCGGGGCCCCCTGAGAACTTCTGGGGAGACCCTGCCCCCTAAAAGGTGAAAAGAAATAGACCAAACCTAAAGCCAAAGGACTCAGCTGGCTATCCTGATGTTTCCTGCGTTGTAAGCATTTTCTCCTGTGTGTAAGCCTGGTAAACACAGACCCAAACTTTGGAAAGTGGAATTATACTTCAACAACCAGAACCTACTTCGCCCTTTGTAGAACGAAGAAAACAGATGTTGACGCATCTCTAGGGCCTCCAGAAAGCGCCACTGGCCTTTCGGGACTTCTAACTGCGGGGCTCTTCAGGCTAAGAAAGCACCACCCCTAAAAATGGTACCTACAAATTCCCTGCTCATTACACTTACTTTCGAACGCCCCCCTCCCCCCCGACCACAGCAGAGCAGCCTTGAGATGGGCAGTGCAGCGGCTACAGGTGGGAACCAGGAGGCTGTGTGGCCGGGACCGCAGGTGGCTGGGATACAGCCTAAGGTTAAGGCTCTGACCCACCTCTGACCCTGACCTGAGACCTTCGCACTGGACAATCAATCAAAGTCAACCCCGGGGTCCCCCCACAAGCATCCTAGCGAAAGACTCGCCACCACCTTGCACCACCTTGTCCCGTGCTGCGCGCCGGAGTGATGGGGAAAGCAACAGGTGCCAAAGCAGCCAAGCCCATGGGCTGTCCCACAGGCATCTGTCGGATGGTCATGTGTGAGCCAATGAGAGGCCCGCTGGCGTGTGAGCCAATGAGAGGGGCCGCCCAGAGTGCGAGTCAATGAGAGGCCGCCCAGAGTGCGAGCCAATGAGAGGGGCCGCCCAGAGTGCGAGCCAATCAGAGAGGCCGCTCGGTGTGCGGACCAATGAGAGGGCCCGCTCCGATGAGCGGTCCTGCTTGGCGTGGGAGCCGATGAGGGGGCCTGTTGGACCGGGCAGCAAACAAGGGCTCCATGGAAAAGCACAAGGCAAAAGCTTCGTCCGCCTCGACCCGCTGATGTTCAGCCAGAGAGATGTTCATGAGTTGGTGCATTTCAGCAGGTCATTCCCAGCGATGCCGGACTCGAGCTAGCCGGGCAGCCAGGGGTGGCTTTCTGATTAGTTACCTGTGGCTCTGAGAGCTGCGACAGCTCGTGGGGAATTTGGACAAAGGGAGACCGTGCCATTTTCCAGAAATCTCATTTGGGTTGCAAAACAAGACAGACAGAGAGGCCCAGTAAGAAAGACACAGAGCACGTTGTCTGCGGTGTGACACACACCACTGAATTCCCAAGAGAGCCATTTCCTAAAAGAGCAAGTGAGACACAGTTACTGCGAATTAAGTGACAGACAGCTACCTTCCTTCCTCTCCTGCTCCCCTCTGCTCTGCGCCTGGCCGGCCACGTGGAGACCCTCCCTGCGGCTGGCCTTTCTCAACGGACCGGTTTACAAGGGGGGGCAGTTCGGAAGTGTCTTGGCAGAAAGGATGTCGGGGCTGCTGGGGTGGGGGGGGAGAGGGGCACACAACAGGGCACTTCTCAGGGGTCACTACTTACCAAGGTCAGACTGCCTCTGGCCAAGTGAAGTGTTTGGAAACCCAGTGGTCACATGCAGCGACCATGGTGCTCCCTCAACCTCTAATCAGAGCCCTTGTATTCCAAAAGGCTGCCTCTTCCCCTGTCCAGCAGGGAAACTGAGCCTGGGACGCTTGGAAGGGGCTGCAGGGCTCAAGTCCTGCGGGGGACCGGTCAGGGTGCTCATGTCCCCTCCTGGACGAAGGCGGGGGGGGGGGGGGGATTTCTCTAGGAATCTAGCTCTCCAGCGTGGCTGCTCTGTCTCTGAAAACATCTTTCAACCCCCGCAGACAAATGTGTGAGGGTGAGACGCTGGCTGATTTTCAACCAGCAAGTGCGTCTGGTCTTTCCCCGCCTCGACACAGCTAGGTGAGAACTGTCGCTCGCTGGGACTCCGCCTGCCTTCCAGGGCAAGGCCTCCTGGCTCTCTGCTAAGCCGAGGAATCTGACCCACCCGGAAGCCCCCTGGAGGCCACTTGGCCTCAATCACACAGCAGTCATGGGCTCAGAATAAGTGGGGAGAGCAAAGGGAAGCCAGAAGCTGGTTGCTTCCAGCCCTGCACCTGCCACTCAGTCTTCCGGAGACCCGCGAGACCCGGAGCCTGAGACAAGGCCCGGCCCAAGAAGGGGGGTCGGAGAGAAGGGGCCAGAGGGGTGTCAGTGCAGGCACTCACTCTCATCCCCAGATGGGGCAGGAGAGGGCTGGGGGGTGGGGGGCTGCCGCAATGAACTCTGACCTCTACAGGGCCGGCCGCACCCCTGGGTTTCACTAACCTAGGAGTCTGGTTGGGGGTCCCAGAGTGTCTCACAAACACTTTCATCGAAAAACCATTGAACCCTCACGGTTTTCCAGTTCTAACTTGTTCGTGTTTATGCTTGGGAGGTCTACTCGGCAGTGCTCGGGGCTTCCTCCTGGCTCTGCACTCAGAGCCGGGATCACTGTCGGCAGGCTGGGGGACTATATGGGTGGTCAAACCTGGGTGGGCCAGTACCAGGCAAATGCCCTTCCTGCTATCCTAGGCTCCAGCTCCTCCCATAGCACCTTCCAACGTCCAGGCCCACTTGCCCCAGCACAGCCTGGCTTATAACCGAGTAAGTGGGCTGTTTCCTTTGGCCTAAGCTCCAGGCTCAGAAACCTGCTCGGAGCCTGCTCGGGCCCGAGTCCCCGTGGACAGGCCAGCCCAGGGGGGCCTGAGTTTCTGGCTACAAGCAGCCCCCAGGTTTTCGACCTCTCGGAGGTCCCAGAGGCCTTCAGGTGGGCGGAAGTGCTAAGGCTCCAAGGAGAAGCAGGGCTGGACAGGCACTGACCAGGAACCGGGAAACAGAGCCCAGCCCTCCGTGGTGACCTAGGCAGTGACCCGAGGATGAAGGTCTCTTTTGAAGAGGGCCTGTGGGAGTCCCAAGGAAGCTGGTGCCTCGCCTGCCTTTAAAATTTCATTGTTTTGTTTAGCTGCCCACTTGCTTTAGGAAAACTGGCCCCTGTGGTCTGGGCTTGCCTTCACACAGGGGTCTGTGACGCTTAGGGGGTGCCGCGGGAGACGGGGGGTAGAGTGTTGGGGTCTTGTTCCGCCATCTGGACACGGACAGCCCACCACGGCAAGACTTAACGGCTTTCATAGGGAGAAGGTCCTACTTGAGGAAAAACATAAAAACCCAATTCCCTCATTGCGGGCGATCACTCCAGTGCAGCTCCACAGAGAGTGTGTATCTGGGAACACGTGCGTGCCTGAGTCTGCGTGCATGCTTGTCCGTGCATGTGGTATGTGTCTGCATGTGTGGCGAAGTGTGTGCGTGTCTGAGTATATCAATGTCTGTGTCTGTACGTGTGTGCATGTCCGTGCATGTGTGCGTGTCTGAGCGTGTGGTGTGTCTGCATGTGTGTGCCTAAGTGTGTGCAGGTTCGTGCGTGTGGTGTGTCTGCATGTGTGCATGTCTGTGTGTGGTATGTGCATATTTGTGCATATGCGTGTCTGTGTGTGTGCATGTCTGAGCATGTTGTGGGTGCATGTCTATGCATGTGCATGTTTGTGCGTGTGTCTGTGTGGTATATGTCTGTGTGTCTGTGTGTGTCTGTGAGTGTCTGAGTTTGTGCATGCTTGCATGCAGTGCATGCCTGTGTGTCTGTGTGTGCATGTCTTGGGGTATGTGTGTCTGAGGGTGTCTGTAGTATGTGTACCTGTGTGTCTGTGTATGCTGTATGTGAATGTGTGTGTCTATGTGTTGTGTGTGTGTACATGTGTGTATGTGTTGTGTGTGACTGTGCGTCTGCGTGTATGTTGTCTGTTGTGTCTGCGTGTGTGTCTGTGTTATGTGTATCTGCGTGTGTCTGTTGTCTGTGTTGTGTGTATGTGTCTGTGTGTGCGTATCTGCGAGTGTGTGTATGAATGTGTATGTCTGTTGTGTGTCTACATGTTGTATGTGAATGTGTGTGCACATTTGCGAGTGTGTGTATATGTTGTGTTTGTGTATTATGCGTGTCTGTTATGTGTGTCTACGTGTGTTTTGAGTGTGTCCGCATGTGTGTGTGCACGCGCATGTCTGTGTCAGGGGTGGTGATACACGCCCACGCCCCTTCGTGTCTGCATCTGTGAGTTCCAGGGGTGCGGGGCCCCCCCCCCAGCATACAACTGAGCAGGAGGACCAGGTTTCGACTCTCCCTCTGGCCTCGGGAAGGTGCCAGCGCCTGGGCGGCTGAGATGCGCTGGGGCTGGGGCCACGTGTGGCCCAGCATGGCCAGTGTCCAGATCGTCCCGAGCCGGGCCCGCGTTCGGGCAGAGACCCTGTGTTCCGAAACCGAGATTCCTGGCCCCAAGTCCTTGTTCCCCAGGGAGGCGTCACATGCACCCGGGCAGAGCACAGCCCGCCGCGTGCTCCCGCCTCCATCCTCGGAGCACTCGCCAGGAGCACTCCCACACCTGCCTGCCGACACCCTCTGCCCAGTGCTCGTCCTGGCGCCGTTCAGAGCGCGACCCCCTTGCCTGGAGTCCGGGCTCCCTTGCTACGGTCCAGAAGGACCTGGCCCAGTTCCGAGGCCTCATGAGCCCTGACTTACCTCCCTGGGTGGGCAGGGAGGCCTGGGGAAGTGCCGCTAGGGAGCCGCGTCTGGGGGAGCAGGCACCCCGAACACGCCGGGACCCCGAGTGCGCCCGCACGCCTCAGCAGTGCAGCCGGGGCGTGGAGGGGGTCCAGGAGGCCCGGCGGTGGGCACGCATGCCTCTGGCTCCCCACTGCCCTGCGTGGTGGCGCCCCTCTCCCTCCCTCATGCAGCTGCGCAGGGCCGGGCGGGCGGGCGGGCGCCCCCGGCTGCTGGATGGAGGGGCGGGTTGTTAGTAGGTTAGTTGGGGGGTCTCTCATTCCATTCCGGATGGAGGTGGAACGTACTGCAAACCTCGCTGCAGCCCCATGCAAGCAAGCAGGAAGCACGAGACTGAGAATGGAAGAGGGGAGAGAGGGCGACCGGCCCGCAGGCAGCTCACTCACCCTTCTGTACAGCCTATGGTCCGCCAGGGGGCTTTGGGTGGTAAAACAACAGCGGAGAGCTATTAGCGCGCGAGGGACGGGCAGGGGGCCGGGGGTGGGGGTGGGGGGATGTCTCGCCCAGGACGGATGCTCAGAAGTCAGCCGAGGCCAGCCCAGGAGGCGCCCGTGGGGTGGACCGAAAGCCCAGTCCACGCCCTTGTGACCAGAACCGGGTCCCCAGGCCCCGCGGGCAGGCAGGGCTGGTGGCTGGTCGCTCTGGGCGACCTGAAGTCACAGGGGCACAGAGACATGAGGGACACAGGGAGGGGATGTCTGGGATCCTGCCTGAGAGAGGACCACCACGGGGACAAGCCGGGCCGGGGGGGCACTGCCCGTATGGGAGTGCCAAGAAGTGTTTCTGGAGACTCCTGGTCGGGTGCCCCACAGGGGAGGGTGCAGAGGGGACAGGGCGGGGACAGGCAGGGCGCCCCTCACAATCTCACCTGCCCCAGGTGGGGCTTGGGTCACTCACCGGGGCTGGTCACATGCAGGGTGTGGCCAGCTCCCCCTCCGCCACCCCACCTCACCCTGCCAACCTCTGTGCCTCCCTCCCTGGCTGCCGGGGGGCACTGAGGGCAGGGCTGGTGCCCAGGGAATGTCCCTGCGGACCTGGCGTGTGTGTCTTGCAAGACCAGCCCTCTGGGCGCAGCCCCACCGCTGGAGGAGTGAGGAAAGTGACCCGACGGGAAAGCCTGCGTCCAGGCCGGCTGCCCGGGCACGGCTCCTGGAGGCCCACGCCAGCCCTGGCTCAGGAGACTCTGGCGAGACCCTGCCAGCAGGGGGCAGCAGCGGCCTGGCACAGCCACCTCACCTCCAGCCTGTCCTGAGCCACGAGCTGCCTGCCGGCCACCCCCACGGGTCCCAGGAGGGCCCAAACGGCCGAAGGAAGAAGCTGGAATCCACTTGTCCCAAAGCACACGCTGGCCTGGGGGGGGCAGGGGGGCTGCCTGCCGCCACACGGATGGATGGACAGCACTGCCCACCTGGCTCAGGGTTGTGTCCTCTGCGGGGAGGGCGGAGGCGGCCCCGGGAGAGCCGGGGGCCCACATACCTGTGGCGGCAGCGGCGCAGAAACCTCATGATTTTCCGAGCGGCCTGGTCCTGCTTCTTGGTGAGCAAACTGCTCCTGCAAACGTGGAAAGAGCCGGTCACTGGGGGGTGGGGGGTGGGTGGGGGCAGCCATGGTGGGTGGGCAGGCGGGGTGGGGCCAGGTCAGCAGAGCCCTGGGGTGGTGGTAGGGTGGCCGGCGAGCCCAGGGACGCGGGTGGGGAGACTGGGGCCCACCTGAGCTTCTGCTGCACGATGACCGCCGTCCGCCGGGCCTGCCGCCGCCGCCCGCACTTCTTGTAGCTGCGGTAGAACTTCTGGATGAGCACGGCCGCGCGACGGCTCTGCTGGAACTTCTTCTGCTCATAGTAGCTGCGGAACTTGCTCTGGATGAGGATGGCCGCCTGCGTCATCTTCTTATACAGTGCGTACTGCGGGGAGAGGCGCGTGAGCTGGCGCCCCCCACCCTGGGGGTCTGCCTCACCCGCCTCTCCCACAGGTGAAGCTCTCCCACAGCGGGGGGGGGGTTCCGAGGGGGGCTCTCCCCTCTCCCCCCAAAGCGTCATTGCTTCCCCTACGAGAGAGATGCCGGCCTGCAGCCCGTTCGGATGGCTTGCAGCCCCGGGAACGTGGCCAGGCCTTTCAGGGTTAACCCACAGCTGCGAGATGCTCTCCGCAGCCCCGTCACGCCCCGCGACCCCCGTCTGAGTTACACGGTCCCAAATACGAGGCTTATCATGAAACGCTGACACCTTTCCATCACTTGAACCTGCGAGAGACTCACACCCAGCACACCCACCCGGGGAGCAGAGTCACACCCAGCACACCCAACCCGGGGAGCAGCCAGGACCCCTGGAGGCAGCAGGACAGCCAGTCGGAGCCCGGGGCCTGGCACGTGGCAGCACGGGAAAGAGCGAGCGGGCACAGAGGACGGGCGCGTCCATGCCAGCCCCTGGAGCTCAACACAGAGAGGCCGAACGGCAACTAAGGCTGGCACGCACAGTCCCAAGAGCCGTCCAGCTAGGGGCCAGGAGCCACAACGAGGCTGGTGGCCGCCAAGAAGGCAACTCTGCACACAGGGAACCCGGCGCCTAGGCCCGCCTGCATGTCTGCGGTGGGGAAGCGGGTTGGGGCTCCCTGCCCTGGCCGAGTCTGGCAGACAGCACTGCTGAGGCTGGGCCGGTCTGGGTCTGTGGCCCATCCCGGGCCTGTGCCTGGGGGCAACCCCGGGAGTGACTGGGCCATGGGGGGACCTCAGTGGCTGGTGAACCACACAGATTCTTGGTTTGCATCGGCCCAGAAAGCAAAGAGCCCAACACAGGGCCACAGGGAGCCACAGGGTCCCGGGGTGGGGACGGCTGCTTGTCGTGGTGGGCTGAGGCACGGGGCCAGGGGCAGGGCTGGTGACGCGTTGGGGGGGGGGGGCGGCTTGAGAGAGGAGATGGGAGTGGCATTACCTTCAGGGCTATCCATGTCAGCTTGGGGAGAAACAGAGAATACAAGATTAAAGTTAGCGCCGAGCAGCAGGAAAAGAAAAACCAGAGCCAGTAACTCCCGACCGGGAAAAGGGCAGAAAATGGGAGGCCCGTGGGCGCGACGGAAGTCTTCCAACTTCTAAAATAGTCCTCAATCTCCCCCCAAAATATGGGCCCTTGCATCTTCCTGGTCACAGACGGCGCTTCTTCCGGAGGGGATTCAAGGGGAAAAAGAAGCCCCCTGCGGCAAGATCACTGGTGTCAGCGTTTACACAATAAACCTTCATTCTCTGGGATCATGAACTCAACTGGCTACTAGCAGAAAGCACCCCTTGCCCCATCCCATCCATAGAGACACTCATGGACTGGGTCCCTGCGGGCCTGGGGACCAAGCAGCGGCCAACAGCGCCACCTAGGGACATACCCGGGCATCTACACCAGGGTCTGGGCCAGAGAGAACGGGACCGGACCAGGAAGGGGCCGTTTCTTAAAGAGTTGCGAAGGGTTCGGAGTGTGTTAATTTTCCTGTGCCACAGTGCCTGCGCCCGCGTCATACACGACACCCTAAAGTCAGACTATTCACCTGAAAGTGTGAGAACTTTCCGGGGTGCCGGAAACACACCCAGGTGAGGAAAGGGGCCAGGAGGGGCCGAGAGGGTCTGCTGGCGTCTCTGAGCCCAGGAGGCCTGCATGTTTGCGTGCAGGAGTGGTTTCTGCTGCTCTGAGCAGAGAGAGATTTTTACAATCTTTTATGGTGACTTGACCCCCCAGGCCACACCCAGAGGTGCTCCCGCCTTCTTCTGGCTCAGGGCTTGTGCCTGGGCTGGCCACCGCCAAGGCCAGCATCCCGCCTGCAGTGCCATGGCCGGTCCCCTTCTTAATCTCTGCCCAAGGCCACACCGTAACACAGGCCCGAAGGCGTGGGGCTCAGGCTCTGTGCTGTGGTGCTGGGCCTGGCAATACCGGAGGACGTTTGGCACCAGGGATGGAGCTGGGCTCTCCAAAGGGCCAACCCTAGGCCCGGGCTTACAACTCTCTGGAAGCCCATAAGCAGCGGCTGCAGAGGGAAACGTGAAAGATGATGGCCGGGATCCAAGGCCACGAATCAGAGGCCGCCTCCTCCGCCTGCTGGCACGGTCACAGGCCCCTGGGAGTGCTCCCTGCTGCGGAGCTCCTGGGCACGGCTGCAGGCCCCCGGGAGTGCTCCCTGCCACGGAGCCCCTGGGGAGCCCCAGGCCAGCCCTAGCCGTGAAGCGTCTCCTTGCAGCTGCCTGTGCCTCGTGCAGGTGAGAACAGGAGGGACTTGGGCAGCTTGGGGGTGCCACATCGAAGCAGTTCTGGGTGCGGCTGGGTGGGCTCCGTCCCCTGCCCCTGTGCTCACCTGCTTGTACTTCCGGTAGCAGCGCTGAATCACGGCAGCCGCCACTTCCTGCTGCTCCCGCAGGGGCCGACCCTTGGGGAGAGAGGGAGAAAGCAGTCCTGACTTTCCACAGCTGGCAACAGTGTTTCCGGGACCCCCGAGATACTGACAGCCCCCAGCTCAGACCAGTCTAGCAGGTGGCGGCAGGCCTGAGAGGTTTCCTTTCTCAAACACTCTCTGGACTCAGCTCATGTTTTCCTAAGCTCCCGGTCCCCACTAGGGTGGCTGTGACGACCTGCCAAAGGCCGGATGCACCAGCAGCGTCTGCAGGGCTCAGGCGATACCAAAGACACCTCTGACCCTCGGCACCCCTAGCCCCCTTACACGGGGGTCCCAAGTCTTCAATCACCTAAATAAAGTCAGCGGTGGGTATCCAGCCAGCGTGTGCAGCTGGGTGAGACCTTGCCCACCAGTGCCCCCACGAACTGACAGTGGGGGGACAGACGGCACCTTACTGCCGTTTCATTCTGCTCACACTTCTGGAAGTTATTCAACATCCCAGGGACAGAGTAACTTGAAATAAGTCTTCTCCAGGTCAGAGCTGGGGAGACGGCACAGTGGGGAGGGCGCTTGCCTTGCACATGGTCAAGCCTGGTCAACCCCTGGCACCCCATATGGTTCCCCCGAGCACCGCCAGGATGAGCCCTAAGAGCGGAGCCAGGAATTAAGTCCTGAGCACCGCCGGATGTGACCTCAAAACCAAAACCAAACCAAAACCAAAAAATCTCTAAGCTCAGGGCCCGGTGGCAGAGCACACAACTTCTATGTTTGAGACTCAGGAAAGGAAAGGAAAGGAAAGGGAAAGGGAAATCCCACAAGTTCAAGCCTGAACACGGCTCTGTGGGAATGATCCCGACCTTCCTGCTGCAGCTACCCAGGCCTGGCTCACCTTGTATTTCCGGAACGCCGTTTGGACCAGCCTGGCCGCCTCGTAGAGCTCTCTCTGCTCGTGGTCCGACAGAGTGAGCTGAGCAAACTCGTTCTCCACCTTCTCGCTGGTGGACGCGCTCAGGAACTCTGACCAGTCGGCGGCTGACGGGAGGCTGGGCTTCTCGAAGGCCATCCCACTGACCGGGGAGCCGACGGGGCTCAAGGTGCTGGGGAAGCAGGAGGGAGAGGCTCCTTCCAGGCACTTCCGGGACAGAGGAGGGAGTCCCCCCCACCCCCGAGACAGGGAGGCCGGTGGGGGGCACTGTGGGTGGCGAGGGCATCAACGGCCCTTGGCACCCAGGGCTTGGGGCTGTGCGGAACAGGAAGTGGGACCTCAGGGAGGGTGGCCGGCTGGGTTGGGGTACCCCAGCTCACGGAACCTCGGGCCTCGCTGGGGCTACGGCACCCCGGAAGAGGCAAGCTCAGCCCCCACCCCGAGAGATGGGCTGGGAGGGTGGCCTCGGCCTCCCTCCTTTCCCCCCCGAGGCGCCAGCGCCACGCCGGACCTGATCTGGGCAGTGCCGGGCAGGTGGTCGACGTCTGCGAGGTAACTGGCCAGCCAGCTCATGGTGCTGCCGACGGCGGGGCTGTCCGTCCGCTCGGGGCCCGCGGGCTCCAGGGGCACGAAGGTTTCCTGCTTGATGCGCTCGGGGGTGGCCTCGATGATATGCTCCGCAAGCGTGATCATGTTAACCTGCGGGGCAGCCATGGGCCGTGAGCCCCGTGTGGCAAGGCACACCCGGCCCAGCCACGCGGCTCTCAGCAAGGACAGACCCAGGGATGCAGCCCACAGGCGGCCGGGTCAGCCTCAGCCTGAGAACTCCAGCTGCAGGGGATGGCGCGACGCCACCCCGTGCCCCTGGCCAGGAGTTGCAGGTGGGGTGGCGATGCTTCTGCTTTGGGGGGGGGGCTGGGGCCACACCCAAGGGCGCCTAGGGGACAGCCACGTGCAAGGTGACTTCTTAATCCCTTCACTGTCCCTCCTGCTTTTTTTTGGGGGGGGGATCACATCCGGCGATGCGTAAGAGTTTCTCTTGGCCCCTGGCTCTGCACTCGGGAATTACTCCTGGCGGTGCTCGGGGGACCAAATGGGATGCTGGGGATTGAACCGGGTCGGCTGCAGGCAAGGCAAATGCCCTCCCTGCTGTGCTATCGCTCCAATCCCTGTCCCTCCTGCTTCTTTGTGACACGGTCTGGGGTCTTCCCCACTTCCTCCTACCGTGGCCACACCCCCGGCTGGGGAAAGGCCTGCAGACACAGAGGCCAAGGGACATTGACCTGGGACCCTGGGCATGAGCCCCCCGGCCGGCGTCGGCTGTCCAGAGCCTTTTTTCTTGTCATTTTTTTGGTTGTTAACCCAGCAGGGAGGTCACTGACAGGTGGGCCCAACTCCATCCCTGAGGGATACGCTCAGAGACCCTCTACGGGAGTCTGGGACAGGGGAGAGTGAGTCAGAATCTGCACTCTGGGTCTGCCAGAAAAGAGAAAAAACCCAAAAGCCAAGCCCCTGTGCCGAAAAGCAGAGGCAGAAGCTGCTGGAAAAAGTCAAGTTCTGGGACAGAAGTCAGAGGACGGGTCCCTGGGCTCGGCTGGGAGCAGATGGCGGTACAGAGGGCCCAGAAAATCCTGGGGGGCAGGTGCAGAGACACCTGCGGGCTGATGTACCAAGGACACCTCACACGAGTCTGAAGGGCACAATCCTCCAGTCTCTCTGGACAGCCCTGTCGCGGGGGTTCAGGGAAGAGGGAGGCTGGCCTTCCACTCTCCTCCTGGATGGGCAGTCTTGCTTCAGACTCAGAGAGGAGGCTAAGTTCTCTTTCTACAAAGTATTCACACATGCATGATGCATTTTCCCCAGCATTCCATATGCTCTCTGGAGCACTGTCACTGTCACTGTCCTCCCGTTGCTCATCGATTTGCTCACGCAGGACCAGTAATGTCTCCACTGTGAAACTTGTTACTGTGTTTTAGGCATATCGAATACGTCACGGGGAGCTTGCCAGGCCTTGCCGTGTGGGCTAGAGACTCTCAGTAGCTTGCCGGGCTCTCCAAGAGGGGCGGAGGAATCGAACCTGGATTGGCCAGGTTGGTCGCGTGCAAGGCAAATGCCCTACTCGCTGTGCTATCGCTCCAACCCTACCTACCCAGAGTAATTCCTCAGTGCAGAGCCAAGAGTAAGGCCCGAGCATCGCCAGTTGTGGCCCGTAAAACCAAAACGAGACAAAACCACAAAAGCAAAGTGGAATTTCTGCAGCTCTGAGCCCATTTGGTTGCTGTCTGAACAGCACGCCTGCCCGTCCCAGGGCCGATGGCCAATCCGAAGGGCTGGCTGTTTGGCACAGAGTTCTCTGGTGTGGCAGCAAAAGGCACCGCCATGTACCAAAAAAAACAATGTCCTAGGCAGGTGTGAAAGAAACCACTTCATCTTGTCTCAAGGAGGCAAACTTGCAAAGGCGGAGCTCGCTCGAGGTTTTCATCTGAATTCTCATGGAACCCAAGCTTTCTTTCTTTGTTTTTTTTGGGGGGGCCACACCCGGCAATGCCCAGGGGCGACTCCTGGCTCTGCACTCAGGAATCACTCCTGGCAGTGCTCCTCTGGGCTGCCGGGGATCCTCATAAATGCATTTTATCTTTGCTTATTTGGGGGCCTGGAGGCCACCCCCAGCCGCGCCTGCTCCCGTCAGTGCTCAGGGGTCCACATGGGAGCCAGTGCTCGGCCACTGACGCCGCAGCCCAGCAGGGAGAGACTTGGGACTTGCCCCCGCCCGTCCCCGCCTTGCTGGTGTTAATAAGAATCCGGGATTTCTGTCCAGGCCACTCAGGAGCACTCGTCCTCTGAGCCTGTGTCGCGCCCGGCAGCAGCCCGCACACCCGTGGCTGCCCGCGTGGCACAGGCTCCCGGGCTCTGAGCAGCTGTTCTGTTGCATGTCCTCGTTAACAGCGGGGTCCTGCCCACTGCTGTTCCTCAGGGAGTGTGCGTCGAGCAAAACGCTGCACCACCCCCCCCCGCCCCCCACCGGACCACCCTGCTCCTGGCAGCTTCCTGCATCCCACACGGCCACTCTCTGTCCGGGTGGCCCCGCAGGGGCTTCAGATGGGGCTCTGGATTCCCCCGATGCACACGCTCAGACCCCCAGAGGCTGGTGGCTGGCCACCTGGTAGGCAGTGCACACTCCTCTCTCACAGAACTTCCTTCTGGGCAGCTCTCCCAGGCTCCTCCCGCAGTCGCCAGTTAAAGCCCAGAGCCACGCTGTCCAGCGGTCAACAGTGAGGCAGTTCTGGCAGTGGGCCAGGACACGAAGGTGCTGAAAGGCTACAGGATGGGCTCGAAGCCCCCCTCAGAACCCCAGGCCTCTGGAGAGACCCCACAAGCGGGGGAGGGGCCAGCAGAGCAGGACCCCCGGGAGCAGGACAGACGAGCTGCCCTTGGGGCCCCCTCGTCCTCCTGGAACTTTCTGGTCTGTGTTTTTTTTTGGGGGGGGGTCACACCCGGCGATGCTCAGGGGTGACTCCTGGCTCTGCACTCAGGAATTACTCCTGGCAACGCTCGGGGGACCATATGGGATGCTGGGAATCGAACCCGGTCAGCCGCGTGCAAGGCAAACGCCCTCCCCGCTGTGATATTGCTCCGGCCCCTGGTCTGTGTTTTTTGAGCCACCCTCCACCATGCCCAGGGCTGACTTCCAGCTCTGCGCTCTGGGGTCACTCGCCTGCTGGACTGGGCGACCCAGCGGCTCAACCCCAGGCCCTGGGTGGCCACAGTGACCGGGACCCCACAGAATTGTGGTTCCCTGGCAGCTGCGGGGCCCCCGGGCTGGCCCCGGCGCTCTGGCCGGGACCCTGTACCTGGATGTCGTCCATGGGCTGTGCGCAGGCCTCGCCCTCACCGGGGGTGCCCTCGCGGCTGGGGGCCAGCTCGGTCTTCACCTCCCTGCCAGCCATCATCAGCACGCTGACCGGCTCCCGCGGCCGTGCCACTGCGGGGGCTGCCTCCTTGCCCACACTGGTCCCCTTCGCACTGCCGGCCACCTGCCCTGTAGACAGACCCCTGTTAGCCTCACGCAGGGGGGCCCCCCTGCACACCCTAGCCCTGTCCCGGGGTCTCCCGCCTCAGGGGGCCTCAGAGGCAAGTGGTCTGGTGGGGCGTGGGGCACGGTTCCCACTTGGGGTTGCTGGGTCACCCCTGCGGCTCTCGTGGCCGTGGGTCGTGGAGGGCCTGGCTCGGAGAGGCATCTCAACACCACAGTCACACTGTGCGGGCGCCGGACAGGGAGGGGAAACTGAGGCCGTATGTGGGACGCGGGCAGGCTGCACGCAAGCTGAAACCCACCGCTCTGGCAAAGCCCTCGGGGGCGGTACCTGGGTTGGTGCTGGCGATGACGGTGACACCCTTGGGCATCTCCGGGGAGCCGATGCCGTCGCTGTGCCACTGGGCCACCCAGCTGTCAGCGGCAGCGGGCCCCTCGCGGGGCGGGCTGCGCACCCGGGGGTCGGGCCCCAGCGGCGTCTGCTCGTCGCGCTGCAGGTGCTCCAGGCACTCGGCCAGCCGCACGTGGCCGCGGGAGCGGGCGATGCCCAGCGGCAGCCGCCCCAGGGAGTCGGGGATGGAGATGGCACGGCGGTCCCACTTGTACAGCACCACGGCCGCCTCCAGGTGCCCGAGCGCGCAGGCCCACATCTGGGGACGGGAGGCGGCTCAGGGTGGCGGGTGGGGGAAGGGCCAACACCCCCGGGGCAGGTGGGGATCTCAGCACAGGGGAGGGGCCTCACCCTGGGGGCGGGGAAGGGAGGTAGGCGGGGCAGGGAAGTGGGCGGGGCTGGGGGCCCCTCACCAGCGGCGTGCAGGAGAAGTGGTCCACGTTGAGGGGGTCCACTTCCAGCTCCAAGTCGATGCTGTCTGCATGCTTCGTGCTGCGAGGGATACACGGTGGGTGAGTGCCCCCAGGCGACGCCTCCCCAGACCGCCCCTCCGGGAGGCTGGAAGGGACCAACGTGCTGCCGTGGGCGGGGGTGGCGGCCTCCTCCCCCCCAGCCTTCTGCAGAGTCCCAGGACCAGGCAGGTGGGGGCGGGGTGCGCAGGGGGACGTGGGGCGGGGGCTGGCCAGGGCCTTACCGCCACTTGATGAGCGTCTGGATGAGGGTGGCGTAGCCCTGGGCGGCTGCCAGGTGCAACAGCGTCATGCCGCGGAAGGTCTTGGAGTGGATCAGGTGCTTGGCCTTGGCCCAGCAGGCGCGGCTCATCATCTTCTCACACACCATCACCACGCGGCTCTCGAAGCAGCTCCCCAGGGGCCCCGGGGCCGAGGCGCACTGCAGGGAGGGGGCGCGTGTCAGCCCCGGGGGGACGGGACGGGGTCAGGGACACTGATACAGCCTGGAACCACGACCCGCACCCCTCTGATGGGGGTGGGAAGCTCCTTAGATCAGGGGCTCTGCCCCTCCAGGGGTGGACCACGCCATGCGGCAGGTCACAAACACCCAACTGGGCCATATGTGGTCATGTGTGGTCCTGGTGGACTCTGCACTGCTGGGGGCCAGGGACGCCTGCATCACCGGCCCAAGGGCACCACACCCCTATTATTAAATCTGTGAACAATCAAAAGGTCAAGAGCCCCCAAAGAGGGGCTGGAACGATAGCACAGTGGGTAGGGCGTTTGCTTTGCATGCAACAAACCCAGGTTCGATTCCCAGAATCCCATAGCGTCCCCCAAGCACCGCCAGGAGTAATTCCTGAGTGCATGAGCCAGGAGTAAACCCTGAGCATCACTGGGTGTGATGCTTTTCTTCAAAAAGAAAAAAAAAAGAGCCCCCAAAGAAAGCTCTCAGGATCGGGACCCGAGTGTCTGGATGGCAGCGGGGCCCCCAGGAGCAAGGAGCCCATCTCCGCCGACCACTCGCCCAAGTCAGCTGCACAGGGAGGCTGAGGCTGAGCACAGCCCAATGCTCTCAACCAAACCCCACCCTCCCCCCACCCCCCCCCCCCCCCCGCCGGCCAGAGGTGCTTCTCGGCTTCATCTGTCGGGCGTCTGTCCAGCAACGAGGCCCGTGAGAGCCAGCCGCTAGGACACCGCCAGCCTTGCTGCTCTGCCCATATTTTCGAATGAAGATGAAGAAAGGGCAGCAGAGCTGGGCGGATTCTCCCTGATTTGATGCTGTGGTGGTCGTGGTCCTGCAGTGCTCGGGAGCACCCACCTGTGCCAGGGGGTCCTGGCTCTGCCAAACCCGGAGCCAAGGGGCCCGGCATGTCCCTTCACAACGAGCCGCGAGGGTGAGACTCGCCTGGGCCAGTCGACCGTGAGCAGGACTCGACTCGGGGCCTTCCCCAGTCCGGGGTCTGCTGAGCACCTGTGCTGCGGGAGCCCTACCTGGGCCTGGTTTCCTGCCGTCCCGCTGCCTGTGCTGCCGCCGCCACCGCCACCCTGCTTGTGCTGCTGGGCCCCCGTCATCTCGGCCATCCGCCTCTCCATCTGCTCCAGGCGCTCCAGGATGGACATCCTGAACTGGTTATCTAGGGTGAAACGGGGCGAGTGAGCAGGACCCCCTGGCCCCAGCCCCCAGGGGAACGGCCAGAAGCCCCCAGCTGCCCAACAGTCCTGGGTTCCGGCCCCTTTGCCTGACGCCCCTGGGGCCGCCTTGGAGCCTCCCAAGTGGCTCCTCTTTCGTTTCTGTCACGCGAGGAAGGAGTTGGGGGTTTAAAGGATGTTTTACCCAAACAGAGTCTTCAGGGCACCGTGGGGAAGAAGGTTGGCACTTACAGGCTGACCCGCGGCCAAGACCCTCTCGGGGCTGGCCCCCATGGCTGAGATGTGCACAGCTCACCCACCCCACAGATGGCCGGGGGCGGGGGCGGGCACGAGCAGCGCCCACCGTCACGGAGGGTGTTGGGAGCGGAATGAGGCCCCTCTTCCTGCCTGAGCACCGATGCGGCATCGACTCCCCAAGAAACAGGTGCAGCTGGGAAGAGAGGCCCGGGCCAGGGGGACAGAGACCCAGTGCCCCAAGGGAGGCTGAGTGGGTAGCCTGGTGGGCACCACAAGGGCAGAAGGAGGGCAAGAACCCTGGCGTCTGCTTCTCTGACCAGCGCCTGGGGGCCACGGCCGCAGGGGGCACAGGAATCGGCTGGCCACCAGCTGCTGTGCACCAAGTCTTCTGCCCGGGACTCAACACCTCGGCTACACGCGCACATATGCAGTGCACATGCACACACATGCATTCTTCAGATCACACACATGAAAAACGCCTCCCAGTATCCATGCCAAGCTGGAGTATGGGGTCCCAAGGAGACAAGCGGGGCCCCAGGAAGGATGCATGGCGGGGTCCCCCGAAGAACACGCACGGTAGGGGTCCTAGGAAGGACACACGGTGGGGTTCTAAGAAGACAAGCAGGGCCCCTGGAAAGGGGGCATGGCAGGGTCCTGGGAAGACCCACACTCCTGTTCAAGGTTTTCCAGTTCCCAGCCCCGCTGGGCAGCTGACAGCTCACGCCTCTGCAGGGGGCCACCAGGCAGGACCCATTCCTGGGAGAAGCCGCCTCCCTCCTTTCCTGTAGGCAGCCTGGATGTCACGGTCCCTGAGACCCCCGGCTTGTCTCTAAGGCGGCCTTCAGACTTGCGTGGCTGGGGGGATCAAGCCCCTTCCATGACACGTGGCAATTCCCTCCCAGTGAGACCCCGCTGATGAGCCGGCCCCCCCGGCAGGAAGCAGTAAGTCAGTGGGGCTTGCAACCAGCCTGCTGACCATCACCCCTCCTGCCCGACGCCCCCACACCCACCCCGCCCCGTGCCCTCTATCGGAGGGGCTGGGACAGAGTCCGGAGCCCAGCTCCAGCCACGGTGGGAGGAGAGACGGACCCCCCCCCCCGCCCCAGTGCCTGTGAAACGTGCCCCACGCACGGTCACACGATGAGGACAAGACCGGGGATGGCGCGACCTGAGCTCCTCGGCCGGGACCCCTGGGCCCACGCGGACCTACACGCGGTGGGGGGGAGGCGCGCTCTTGGAAGTTCTTTCCGTTATGACGAGATGCTGAGCCCAGCTCCTCCCGATCACAGCCTTCTTCCCAGGACTGACGCTGACCCTGTGCTGTTTCTCTCCCTCCGTCACCAGCTGCAGCCAGGGCTGGGCTCTGTGCTCGGGGATCATGGTTCGTGGGTTCGGGGGGGCCGGGGATTCACCCGGGATCCGCTGCGTGCCAGGCAGGGTCTGAAGCCCCATACTCTCTCTTTTTAAAGTGAATTTTACTCATTTTTTTTTAATCATATTCTTGGGGCTGGAGCGATAGCACAGTGGAAAGGGCATTTGCCTTGCACGCGGCTGACCCGGGTTCGATTCCCAGCATCCCACATGGTCCCCTGAGCACCGCCAGGAATCATTCCTGAGTGCAGAGCTAGGAGTCAGCCATGTGCATCGCCGGGTGTGACCCCAAAATCAACAACAAAAATCATGCTCCTCATTTTTGGTAAACCGAGGGATCAAACTCAGGGCCTTCGGCAGGCCAGGCGGGGCCTAGGGATGGCTGCTGAGACTGTCTTTGTTCTGTCCCGGCCCCCGGTCTGCTGGGCCACACTCTGAGTCTGTCTTCCCCCGGTTGGCCGTGAGTCAGCAGTTCCTGGTTGTCATGACAAGGCACTTCTGGAAGTCATCAGGGGCTTTGCAACAGTATCAGAAAACTAAAGGAACCAGCTCACACTGGAAACAGATCTCAGAACAGTTCCCGGAGGCCAGAGACGGTACAGCAGGGAGGGTGCTGGCCTTCAGGTGTCCAAGCTGGGTCTGACCCCCCCAACCCCAAAGGGTCCCCTGAATCCACCAGGGAGTGAGCCCTGCGGCTGAGCCAGGAGTAAGCCCTGAGCCCAGCAGGTGTGGCCATAAACCAGCCCCCCCGCCAAAAAAAAAAAAAAACCAATCAAAATAGTCCCGATTATTCCAAAGGTAAAGGGGCCAGAGCACTTCTCACCTGCCCTGCCCAGTGCCTGAGGGGCCCCACGCCCACCCCTAGGTGGGGGTCCACCTCGAAGCTGAACATCCCCGAGCAACAAGCTTAAGACAAACCACTCCTGGGGAGGGCAACAGAACAGGGGTTAAGGCACCCACCTTGCACGGGGCAGGCCCTGGTTTGATCCCTGGCACCACAATGGGTCCCCCAAGCCACAACAGGAGTCACCCTGAGTACAGAGCCGGGAGTGACCCTGAGCACAGAGTTAGGGGTGACCCTAAGCACAGAGCCAGGAGCGACGCTGAGCACAGAGCCAGGAGTCCTGAGCACAGAGCTGGGTTTGACCCTGAGCACAGATCCAGGCGTCCCAAGCACAGAGCCAGGCGTCCCGAGCACAGAGCCAGGCGTCCCGAGCACAGAGCCAGGAGTCCCGAGCACAGAGCCGGGAGTGACCCTGAGCACCGCCAGGTGTACCTCAAGCCCCCCAGTCCCACCAGGAGATGAACTCTCCAACAGAGCCTCACGGAAACTCTGCAGGGGGCAGCCTGGTGGCCTGTGGCACTGCCCTCAGTGCAGGGGTGCGGCGGGACAGTCGGGGCTGCAGGTTCGGGCCTGGTCCATGCCCCTGTGGGGGCTCCCTCCACTGCTGCACGTTCTCTCCATCCCTGCAGCTCTGGAACAGAGCCCACCTTCACAGCAATCTAGTTTTAAAAGAAAAAAGGCGGCCCACGGCCCTCTGCGACAAACCAAGTGTTCTGGCTTGACAGGACCAAGTCTGTTTAGGGGTCATGCCCAATGACGGTCAGGGTCAATCCCAGGTGTGTCCAGGGCAATCCATGCTGGGCCTCCTATGTCCAGCCTGCGCACCAACCCTTGGGCATGTTGGTTTTTTTAGGGGGGGCACAGTCACATGCTCAAGGGTCACCCCTGACTCTCAGCTCAGGGACCACTCCTAGCGGTGCTCGGGGGACCCTGTGGAATGCCGGGGATCAAACCCGGGTTGGCCCCGGGCATGGCCAGCTCTCTCCCTGCTGTGCTCTCGGGCTCATTCCAAGTCTCTCTCCTTTCCTCCTCTGAAACCAGGAGCTGCGCCCGCCTCTGGGCTCCACGGCCCAGCCACCGGGCGGCCCTCACCCTTCAGAGAGTGGCTCAGCCACAGCCGGGAGCGGCCGTTCTTCACGGATGGACGAGGGAGGCAGGGAGCGGGCGAGTCACCGCCTGTGTCTGTGCCCTCCACACCGTGGCCCTCCCGAGCTGCACGAGGACAGGGCGATGCCCGTCAGCGTAAAGTGCACCCCAGCCGGAAGTCACGGGCACCGTTCGCTGAGGACCTGGGGTGTGCGTGAAGCCCCACATCCACACCCCCTGCAGTGGGCACAGGGGCTGTGCCCCACCCGGCCTGGGAAGGAGGGCCCACAGCGGCCAGGACGCCCACTTTCCCAGCCAGCTGCAGACAGTGGGATCCCGCCTTAGGACCAGGCCTCACCCCAGGGCAGCAGCTGGAGCCAGCGCCCCGTGAGCATCCTGCCCGCCCCCTCCCCACCGACACCCCTTCCCCCCTGCACGTCCCAAGAGGCCAGACAGCTGCACAGACACCCTGCACTTACGTCCGGCTTAAGCCCAAGAAACACTTTTTCTGGACCCGTCCAGCCCGGCGCGTGGACGTGGCAGCCTGTGTGCAGCGGATGCAGCCTCTGGGCCGCCGTTGTCACGCAGGGCGGCGTGGTCGGGGCCACGGCGGGTCGGGTGGCGCAGGAGCCAGCTGTCCTGGCAGGTGAATGAATGAGGGCGCGGCCATCAGATACCATCGGCTATTTTCATCGCGTTATTTGAGGCTCCGGAGCGCCCGGCCCCGGCCGCCCGGAGCTGCTGTCCGGGTGGGGCGCCCGGAGCGGGTCCCTGGGCCTCGGGGCCAGGCCAGCTGCGCTGGGGCTGTCTCTGGAGAGAACCCCGGCCCCGCGGCTGTGGAAGTTCCCCTGCGTGCCTCCTGGACACCTTCCCGGAATCAACGGGGTGCCGGGGCGCAGGCGGCGGCCGCCGTGGCACCGAGCAAGAGCGGAGGGAAGGGCGCGCGCCGGACGGCGGGTGAGATAAGGCACAGGCTGTACCACTCGGATTTTCCAAAGCAACGGCTAAATTTAGCCCCGGGAAAAACTGCCCTACTCCACTTTTCCAAGACTCCCCGGCTCCGTGCCCCGGCGTCGGAAGTCAGCGGGTCCCAGACCCCCAGACCCCTGAATCTCTGGGCGGGGCCGCGGGGTCTGCATCTCCTGTGAGTCACAGATTCAGAGCTGGAAGTGGGTCAGAAAAGGCCATTTGGGGCCGCCACTCGCCCGGCAAGGAGACCCAGCTGAGCAGAGCGAGCCTCCGGCGTGTCCCTGCGACCCAACGGAGCCTGCGGGGGCGGGAGGGCGGAACCGCCAAGGGCACGCGCTGTCTGCCACACTGGAGAGCATGGCACCACCAGGCTGAGCGGCAGAGCAGCCTCAGGCACACACCGGCTCCGAGCAGCCCCGTGGCGGGGTCTGCAGGGATAGGGACCGGCAAATGGCCAAGGGCGTCGGGCAAGGAGGA